TGAAGTCCCCCACTATTATTGAGTTACCATCTATCTCATTTCTTAGGTCTAGTAATACATATTTTATAAATTTGGGAGCTCCAGTGTTAGGTGAATATATATTTAGGATTGTGGTATTTTCCTGTTGGACTGATCCTCTTGTCATTATATAATGTGCCGCCTCTTTGTCTTTTTAAACTGTTGTTGCTTTAAAGTCTGTTTTGTCTGATATAAGAATAGCTATTCCTGCTTGCTTTTGGTGTTCATTTGCCTGGAATATCTTTTTCTAGCCCATTACATTAAGTTTACATGAATTCTTATGCATTAGGTGAGTCTCTTGAAGATAGCAGATACCTGGTTGCTTGATTTTTATCCATTCTGCCATTGTGTATCTTTTAAGTGGAGCATTTAGACCATTTACATTCAACTTTAGTATTGAGATGTAAGGTACTTTTTTATTCATTGTGCTAGTTGGTGCCTGAATACCATTTTTTTTTTTTCGTTGTATTGTTGTTTTATAGGCCCTGAGAGAATTATGCTTTAAGGAGGTTCTATTTTGTCTGCTTTGAGGTTTTATTTCAAGATTTAGAATCCCAGCTGGGTGCAGTGGCTCACACCTGTAATCCCAACACTTGGGGAGGCTGAAGTGGGGGCAGATCATTTGAGGTCAGGAGTTAAGAGACCAGCCTGGCCAACATGGTGAAACGCCATCTCTACTAAAATACAAAAATTAGCTGGGCGTGGTAGTGTGTGCCTGTAATCCCAGCTACTCAGGAGGTGGAGGCAGGAGAATCACTTGAACCCGGAAGGTGGAGGTTACAGTGAGCTGAGATTGTGCCACTGCACTTCAGCCTGGGTGATGGGGTAAGCCTCCATCTAAAAAAAGAAAAAAAATTAGAATTCCGTTTAGTATTTCTTGTAGTGCTGGCTTGTGGCAAATTCGTCTCAGCATTTGTTTGTCTGAAAAATACTTTGTCTCTTATTTATTTATGAAGTTTAGTTTTCCTGGATAAACTATTCTTGGCTGCCAATTATTTTGCTTAAGGAGGCTAAAGATAGTACCCCAATCCCTTCTGGCTTGTAGAGATTCTGTTGAGAAATCTGCTATTAATCTGATAGATTTTCCTTTATAGGTTACATGATGCTTTTGCCTCATAGTTCTTAAGATCCTTTCCTTCATCTTGATGTTAGATAACTTGATGACTATGTGCCCAGGTAATGATCTTTTTGTGATGAATTTCCTGGGTGTTCCTTGAGCTTCTTGTATTTGGATATCTAGATCTCCAGCAAGGCCAAGGAATCCCTCAAATAAATTTTCCAAACTTTTAGATTTCTCTTCTTCCACAGGAACACCAATTATTCTTAGGGTTGGCTGTTTAACATAATCCCTAATTTCATAGAAGCTTTATTCATTTTTAAATTATTTTTTCTTTGTCTCTGTCAGATTGGGTTAATTCAAAAGCTTTGCTTTCAAGCTCTGAATTCTTCTACTTGTTCTAGTCTATTCTTGACACTTTCCAGTGCACTTTATATTTTTCTAAGTGTGTCTTTGATTTCCAGAAGTTGTGATTGTTTTTTCTTTATGACATCTGTTTCTCTGCAAAATTGTTCATCCATATCCTGTATTATTTTTTAAATTTCTTTTTTTTTTTTTTTTTTTTTTTTTTGAGACGGAGTCTCGCTTCGTCGCCCAGGCTGGAGTGCAGTGGCGCCATCTTGGCTCACTGCAAGCTCCGCCTCCTGGGTTCACGCTATTCTCCTGCCTCAGCCTCCGAGTAGCTGGGACTACAGGCACGCACCACCACGCCCGGCTAATTTTTTGTATTTTTAGTAGAGACGGGGTTTCACCGTGTTAGCCAGGATGGTCTCGATCTCCTGACCTCGTGATCCACCCGTCTCGGCCTCCCAAAGTGCTGGGATTACAGGCTTGAGCCACCGCGCCCGGCCTGTTTTTTAAATTTCTTTACGTTGGTTTTCACTTTTCTCTGGTATCTCCTTGAGTAGCCTTAATAATCAACCTTCTGACTTCTTCATCTGGCAGTTCAGAGATGATTTTCTTGGTTTGGATCCATTGCTAGGGAGCTAGTGTGGTCTTTTGTGGGGTGTTACAGAACCTTGCTTTGTCATATTACCAGAATTACTTTTCTGATTCCTTCTCATTTGGGTAGACTGTTTCAGTGGAAAAAGCTGGAACGCAAGGCCGCTGTTCAGATTCTTCTGTCCTACAAGATGATCCCTTGATGTGGTATGCTCTCCCTTCCCCTAGGGATGTGGCTTTCTGGGAGCTGAACTGAATGATTATTATTGCTTTTCTGGGTCCAGCCACCCAGTGGGGCTCCAGACTCCAGGTTGGTGCTGAGAAATACCTGATTCCTATGATGTGATCTGTCTTCAGGTTTCCCAGCTGTGCATACCAGCACCTGCTCTGATGGAGGTGTCAGGGGAGTGAAGTAGAGTCTGTGAGAGTCCTTGGTTGTAGATATGTTTAGTGTGCTGGCTTTCTTGAATGCTGGTTATGCTAGCAGTGAAGTTTTTATGTGGACAGACCCAGGCCCTCTGGTTAGCCAGGATGTTGCAGGCAGTGGAATTAGGTGTTGTTTTCTCCTCCCTTGGAGCAGGGTTATTCTGTCATTAATTGCTATAATGTACCGAGTTGGATGGCCTCCAGCCAGGAGGTGGTGCTTTCAAGACAGCACCAGCTAGTATAGTAGAATGGGGATATTAGCTTGCCCTAAGTTGGCCAGGATACGTATTTGGGGTTCTCAGGTAATGGTCAGGGCCATGAAGCTCCCAAAAGTTTATGTCTTTTGTGATTGGCTGTTGGGATGGGTAGAGAAAAACCAGGAGGTGGGTGCAGGGTTAGACAAGTCTGAGCTCAGACTCTCCTTGGGCAAGGCTTGCTGTGGCCACTGTAGGGGATGCGGGGTGGTTTTTGGGCCAATGGGGTTATGTTCCAGAGGGGATTATGGCCACCTCTGTCACTAAGAAAGTGGGGGAAAGCCAGTAACAATAGGCCTAACCCAACTCGCACACAGTTGGTGAGGCTGGTCTTGCTCCCTCTGTGCCCTTCTAACAGTGGCAAATTAATCTCCAGGAAGCCTGTGGGAGAACTCAGACCTTGCCCCAGGCTATAAGCTTCCCTGCTGAGAAAGCAAGCATGACTTTCAGGCCTCACCTGCCCCTCCCTGTCTGTCCACACGATGGGCCATGGCCCCTGTGCTCCTTTCTGCAGCAGTTCCTGTTCAACGCCTGGATTCTGCTCAAGAGAGTTTATGCCCAGTAAAATTATTACAAAGTTCAGCTGGAAGCTTCCCTTCTCTTCCTAGTAGATACCTGGGGTATGTGAGGGAGAGAGGAAAGAGCGTCGTCCTCTTTCCTTCTTCTGTTCTTCTGTCCCCGAGTCCTGACAACCTTGGCAGTCAGCACCATGGGTGTTAAAACAACTTACACTCATGAAGCAGGGGGTCTAGGGGATGAAAATCATCAACTCTTACCCACATATACCCTATCTCCCTTACTGTCAGTAGCCTTGAATTCCCTAGACCTCATTTATGCCATGGATACTAACGTAGCCTTTATCCATGAAACAGGAAGCTTGGGCTTGGCTTAATTGGCAGAAATCAGCCATGCTCACCTGTGCCATACCTTTTAACCGCTGTTGTTGTCTGCCTCTGGATCCCTTAGATCCAGTTTTCTTTCCCAGGGCTTTGACCCAAAGCTTGGAATTGAGTTTGGGACAAAAATGTGTCGCAGGGGAGTTGCATGGACTCCTTATCATAAGCTGAATGCTAAGGTGAAACTGTAGAACTGAGTCCTCCTCCAATAAGGGAGAAGAAAGGATGTCTTGTGACACACCCAGATAACTGATAGCTATAGTTACACTTACTTAGATTTGGGTGGATGATGCTTGGCTTTGGTTAGCTCCCTTGGTCTTATTTTCCCAAAAGGAAACATCCAAGTGATGGGCATCCTATTTATTCCCATCACCTGGCAGGGTTTGCAGGATAATTCCTCAGAACTAGAATATTGATCCAGATTTTCACATTACCCATCCCTCTTATTCTTTCTGAGCTGCAGTTGGAGACTGCTGGTTGGTAGACAGGAATGAGCAGGATTAGTCTTAAAATGTAGGTTAAAAACTTAAAAACAATTAGTGAGTTCATAATGTAATGACAAATATATGATAGGTTTTGAAACATGATTTCTCATTCACCAGTCCTCATTTTTGTTAAAAACAAACAAACAAATCATGATAGGACTGAGTTGTTTGCTAAATAGACTTTACAGTTGTATACTTGGCCTGATTATTTGCATAAAGTACAGCAAGAATTATTATTTCTGCATAGGCCTTTTGGATTGGCTTTGATGGAAGTTTGTTCCACAAGGAATCAGATAAGACCTTTTAAAGCTGAGCCCAGCCATGGGTTTATCCTCAAATACCTGTGAGTTTGGTGATCCTCTCCTCTTACGGTTCCAAGATAAACTTGGAGTTCCTGGACCTGTTAAAAGTGGCATTCTTGGCCGGGCGCGGTGGCTCAAGCCTGTGATCCCAGCACTTTGGGAGGCCGAGACGGGCGGATCACGAGGTCAGGAGATCGAGACCATCCTGGCTAACACAGTGAAACCCCGTCTCTACTAAAAACACAAAAAACTAGCCAGGCGAGGTGGCGGGCGCCTGTAGTCCCCGCTACTCGGGAGGTTGAGGCAGGAGAATGGCGTAAACCCGGGAGGCGGAGCTTGCAGTGAGCTGAGATCCGGCCATTGCACTCCAGCCCAGGTGACAGAGCAAGACTCCGTCTCAAAAAAAAAAAAAAAAAAAGTGGCATTCTTTACTGACCATAGGAACCCTGTGCAGGCACTGTGTAAACAAGGGTATGAGGCCAGTTTCCCCACTGGGCTTTTATCAGCGCTGCAAGTCAAGTTTGACTCCTTAAAGGAAAGCATACCCTTCCAGTCAAAGACTTGGTAAAGTAACCAGTTTTTCCAATTGTGTCCTGTTGCAAGAGAGAAATGGATTCTTATTGCACTGATGTAAACAACTATATTGCCGTAAGTCACGAATACTCACAGATAGTTTTCAAATTTTAGAGGAACCAGAGAGAAACAAACATGCTCCAAATTTTGGTTACAGAAGTGTACCTTGCTTAATTATTAAAGGCCATAAATAGTTCAAAATAAGTTTCCTTGACTCTGAGAAACAAAACAAAGATGAGCAATATTCCAAGCAAAAGTCAAAAAGATTTGCTTTAGTTTTCTGAGTTCCGTTCATTCAGTTAATTCTTGCTTTGGTTGATATTCATGAACATTTCAGCTCTTCATTAGTTCTGTAGATTTTCCTTTATTCCAATGTCACAATCTCCAAAGTTATCACAAGCCTGTATTGGAGAGCACCTGTTAAAGTTCTATGGCTTATAAATCATCTCTTGTAAAGGATTAAAACAAGACAACAATTGTCTGTGAATAGCAAAATGTCCAGGGTTGTTACATTTAGAAACACAACTGACAAAGGAGTTTGGTTTTCTCTGTGGTTTACAATAAGTTAACCTAACAACCTTAATTATATTGGTAGCATAACTTAGACATTAGAATTTTGGAAAATCCCACATAATTTTGGAACATGTATTAATATCATTCACAAAAATATAACCTAAAGAAGATTGAACATCATTTTGACAATTTCACTTACCTAAACATGTCAAATCATCCCGTTTACCTCTCTTTTCTGGATGTCTCAGGGGCCCTCTGGACTATCTAAAAGTCAGGTGTCAGGAAAGACAATTTTGAAACTTAAGTTTGATTTTTGGAGGCTGTTAAATATGTTTAAAGCACTTGATATTATGAAACAGCGTTCCAGATTACTATAAACAATTTTGCCAAAATGATGACTCAGAAATTTTAAAGAAGCAAAAACCTTTTATAACCCTTTTGAATTTAGTTAATGTGGTCACAGAAAGAACTTCTTCTGCAAGATTAATTTCCATAATTGTTGCACCACTTGCTTGAACCTTCAGCTTTTCCTGTCTAACTCAAAACAATCCTTTAACCCTAGGCAAAAATTTACATTTCCATGCCTCCTTGTAACCTTTTACTAAAAAACCACATTGTTCTTACATACCTTGCATGTAAATCTATTTCCAGTAGTCTCAATTACATGTTGTAATGGTAACTCCCAGAATTTTTAACGTAAATTTAAAACCTGGTAAGTTGTTCTAATTGTGTGCTAACTGCAGCCAAGTTTTGCCTTCTTAATTAAGGGTGTGGTTAGTTCCATATGACCCCAGGCCTTACCAGCTGTGAAGCCAGCAAGTCATATTTCTCACAACCCAAAAAGCAGTTTGTAACCTTAAAACATTTAGCAAACCTTGCATCTGACCTGTATTATGCAGCCCACTTATTTACATTTTAACGACATCTGCTTTTTACCAATAATCTTTAAGGCTACTTTTATTTCTCAAAGATTAAAGTCACCTGTACTGAAAGGCATCACAGCTTTTATCTTCCCTTAAAAAAAATTAGATGTGAGCACTTGTCTTTCTTTAGGCCAAATTAATTAGAGCTCTTTTTACAGACATCACATACACACACACACACACACACACGCACACACATAACTGCACAGAAAACCCAGTCCCGGGTGGGGTTCTTTAAGAGGCAGTGCTAGGAAAACATCCAGATATCGAACCAGAGCGGGCTCATTCCCTAAGGTAGAATTGCTAAACAAAGCTCTATCAAGGAGTTTAAGATGTAAAACAAGAGGAAGGCTTCATTTCAGAACTAAAACTTTGCAGAAAATACAAATAGTGACGGTTAGTGGGGGGGCCTGGTTTAGTGAAGCGTCTTCTAAAAGGAAAAAACTTTAAAAGTTACTACTGATGGGATGGAGAACAGGAAAGATAAAAAGTTTAAAAAATGCCTGGGGAAGAACCTCTCTTTCTTATGCAAGTGGTTCCTTCAACAGGGAGACAAGTTTAATCGCTGCGGGTCAGAGCTGGCCTTTCTGGCCCAGGGAGGAGGAGACTCCATGGGCGTGTGGCAGAAAACACCAGCCAGCTGCCCGCCGCACCCTGGGCCATGTGTCCCAGCCCGGAGGGAGGGGAGAGTGGAGGGGAATCGCTGCTCTGGTTCATCCCGAAAAAGGAAAGAAAAGCCCATGAAAAGGCTGGGGAGCGATGGGGGGTGCGGGCATGATTTCTCCCACTCTCAGAAGTCTGAGGATGAAAAGGTTTAGGAGCAACAGTGACAGGTTTTGAGTCCTCATTTCACTCACCGCTTCTTGAGCCCCATGTTGAGGGTCAAAAATGTTTCAGGACTTTTCCTCAGTGAAGCTAAAGATGGCGTTCTTTGTCCCACAGCCACAAAAATTCAGGCTTGCAGACAATTTGAATGGTGAGTAAGACAGAGTTTTATTGAGTGAAAAGGAGTTAACAGGGACTCTTTCTAGGCCAGAGTCCCTGCTAGAACGCTTCCTGCTTGACCATTCTAATCCCAGGTTCCACACAGGAAGTGAAGGGGCCAGGCTCCTCCTGGCTGCAAACAGCGCGAACTTCGCGAGGCTCCACCCCAGAGCGCATGTCGGTTGGAGATTTTCCGGGGACCCGCTTGCCACCTGGCTGTCTCACCAGCACTTTGGCAGGCCAAGGTGAGAGGATCACTTAAACCAGGAATTCAAGACCTGACTGGGCAATATAGTAACACCTTTATCTCTATGGAAGGGAAAAAAAATGCTAGCCGGGCATGGCTGTGTGTGCCTGTAGCTCTAGGTACTGAAGACACTGAGGTGGGAAGGTAAGTTGAGCCCAGGAGTTTGAGGCTGCAGTGATGCAGCCAGCTAGGATTGTACCGCTGCATTCTAGCCTGGGAAATAGAGCAAGACCCTGTCTCTCAAACAAAATTTTTCTTTTCCTTATTTAAATAGTGAAATTAAAGTAAGATAGTAGGTACAGGGTGGGGACCAGCAGCCCCTCCTGAAAAATAAAAATAAAAATAAATTGGCCGGGCGCGATGGCTCACGCCTGTAATCCCAGCACTCTGGGAGACCGAGGTGGGCGGATCACGAGGTCAGGCGATTGAGACCATCCTGGCTAACACGGTGAAACCCCGTCTCTACTAAAACATACAAAAAAATTAGCCGGGCCTGGTGGCGAGCGACGGTAGTCCCAGCTACTCGGGAGGCGGAGCTTGCAGTGAGCTGAGATGCACCACTACACTCCAGCCTGGGCGGCAGAGCGAGACTCTGTCTCAAAAAAAAAATTAAAAATAAATTAAGATGTTTCATTTCGGAAAATATATTTAAAATTATAATTCTAAACTACCTGTCCTCACTAAAACTAAGGTGGGGATTAGAAGGAGTTTGGAGGAGAAGCCTCCTATGCCAGGGACAGCAGTAAGCACTCTCCATATTTTACCTCCTTTACAACTGTGGGAGCTAGGAATTATTTTCCCCATTTTACATTTGAAAAAACCTGGAAAAATCTCAGATAATAATTAGCTTCTCCAAGATCATGAAGCTAGGAACTAAGCACAGATAGATTCCCAGTTAAGGGCTCAAGAGAGATCAACCTGTTAAGAGGAAAGAAGGTGTTTTTCATGTTCATATTACCACCTTAAGACCATATGCTGCTGTTTCACAAAGGAGACCCACAAATCACTGAAATTCATTGACTAGTTCTAGATCGATTCCCCATTTCAGAAATCCTCTGCATTATAACACTAATATTTACTGGGAACTTAACTACATGCTAGGCATGTTCTAAGCACTCTGTATGTGATAATCAATTTAATCCTCACACAATCTGATGAGGTAAGTGCTATTAGTATCATCATTTTAGCAGATGGGACCCCAAGGCACAGAGAAGTTAGGTAACTTTCCCCAGGTTGCATAGCTAGTAAACAGTAGAGCTAGGATTCGTTCCTGGCAGACTGGTGCCAATGTCATACTCTTACCTGTCTTTTATAACCTCTGGCACCAGAGCAAAGTATAACAACTGGTTTGAATTTTTTACATATCAGAAGTGGCTTGGAGAGATTAAAGAACATTTTTTGTTTTTTTTTTTTTTGGTTGTCCCCACCCAACAGAAACCTGTCAAACTGGTTATTCAGGTTTAAGTCACTTTATAGTTCTCACAAGAATGTTAAAGGAAAATAATGAAAACAAACAGATGTTAAATGATTCATTCCAGTATACACTCAATTATCTAAGTTCCTTTGCTTTTGTAGCAATCAAAATGTCTTTGGACTTTGACCAAGTCTGAAACTTTTTCATATTGTATTTATTTCAAATAATGAGATGATCAAAGGTGATCTGTGAAAAACACAGGATAAAAACTGCAGCAGCCTGGTAGAACCCACATCTAGGTTGTTGATGAAAAGAATCAAACTCTAAAATATTTGAAGAGATATATTCTGAGTCAAATATGAGTGGCTCTGGCCTATAACCCAGCCCTCAAGAGATCCTGAGAACATGTGCCCAAGGTGGTTGGGGTGCAGCTTAGAACATTTTTGGGAGACATTTACATTTTAGAGAGACATGAGACTTCAATCAAATACATTTAAGAAATGCATTGGTTTGGTCAAGAAAGGTGAGACAACGGAAGGTGGTGGGGTAGGGTGTTGGGGGGTGGCGTGGGGGGTCAGGGGCTCTAAAGGTGGGTTAAAAAAATTTCTGGTTGACAATTGGTTGTTTATCTAAAGACCTGGGATCAGTAGAAAGGAAATGTCTGGATTAAGACAAAGGATTGTGGAGACTAAAGTTCTTATTTGCAGAGGAAGCCTTCAGGTAGTAGGCTTCAGAGAGAATAGGTTGTAAAATATGTTTCCTTTTTTTTCCTTTTGAGATGGAGTCTCACTCTGTCACCCAGGCTGGAGTGCAGTGGCACGATCTCGGCTCACTGCAAGATCCGCCTCCCAGGTTCACCATTCTCCTGCCTCAGCCTCCCCAGTAGCTGGGACTATAGGTGCCTGCCACCACACGCGGCTAATTTTTTGTATTTTTAGTAGAGAAGGGGTTTCACTGTGTTAGCCAGGATGGTCTCGATCTTCTGACCTCGTGATCCGCCCACCTCGGCCTCCCAAAGTGCTGGGATTACAGGTGTGAGCCACCGCGCCCGACTGTAAAATGTTTCTTATCAGATTTAAAGTCTGTGTTGATGTTAATGCTGGAATGGTATAATCTGGCATGTCCAACCCCACTTCCCATCATGGCCTGAACCAGTCTCTCAGGTTTACTTTTAAAAGTGCCCTGGCTGAGAAAGTCCATTCAGATGGTTGCAGGGCCTTAGAGTTTTATTTTTGGTTTACAAGGTAAAAGTTGGCTTGAGATAATATGAAAAACAGTGAAGGTATATAGGACTCAGAGTTAATTTTAGTCCTTTGGATGTCTGTCTGTCCCAGTCCTCCTCCATTTATTATTAGTATCACGGAGAGTAAAGTACAGTTATTCTGAGGAAAAACCCAGGAGTTTGGACCCTGTGTTAGTCCATTCTCACAATGCCATAAAGAAATAACTGAGACTGGGTAATTTCTAAAGAAAAGAGGTTTAATGGCTCGTGGTTCCACAGGCTGCATAGGAAACATGATGCTGGCATCTGCTCAGCTTCTGGGAAGGCCTCAGGAGACTCACAATCATGGCAGAAGGTGAAGTAGGAGCAGGCACATCATATGGCCAGAGCAGGAGCAAGAGAGAGGAAGGGGAGAGGTGCTACACACTTTTAAACAACCAGATCTCACAAGAACTCACTCACTATAACAAGAACTGCACCAAGGGGCTGGTCCTAAACCATTCCTGAGAAATCTACCCCCAGGATCCAATCACCTCCCATCAGGCCCCATCTCCAACACTGGGGATTACAATTCAACATGAGATTTGGGTGGGGACATTTATCCAAACTGTATCAGACCCCTAGCTGAGTTTGCAGTGTAGCCCTATAATGATATAGAAAGGAGAAGGATTGGGAAATAAGGGAAGATAGGTGAGCAGGCCAGACCTGGGAGGCTTTGAATACCGACTTAAAGAGTCTGAATTTATTCTGTATCTAATGGGGAGCCATGATCCATAAGGAAGGCTATGGAATTATTAGGTCTCTTCCTGCCAAGACTCTAAATATTCCTTTGCATCAGGGTTGACCCAGGTCAGGCTGAATGTTCCCAGGTTACTTTGGGTTAGCCTAGCGTTTCCAGTCTGGTTCACAGTCTTCAGGAACTAGGAACAGGGTTTTCTCTACCTCCATTTCCCAGCTAATTTTTTATCTAGCTCAGGGAACCTGTTTGTCCCTTTCTAAAAATATGAGTGTGCAGTTTCCAAGACAAATAGGCAACAACTGCTCTGTGGGCTGGCTGAAGGATCCTGCCAGGGCACTGGTGAGTTTGTTTCCTCATACTACATTTATCTTTAGCACAGCAACTAGCAGTAGGCAGAACTCCTAACTCAGCCCAGTGATAACCAAGAAGTAGGCAGGTAAAGGCAACTGAGTCCAAGGAGCGGACTTAAAGGGGGCAATCAAATGAATATGTTGCACCTGCTTATGTTCAGATGCCCAAGATAATCTAGGAGAGATGTGATGGGAAGGAGAATAGGAGGGTGCTTAGTCATGTTAGGTACAGAGACAACATTAAAAAAAATTTTATTATTTTTTCCAATTTTTAATTGTGGTAAAACATACATAACATAAAATTTACTATCTTAATCATTTTTAAGTGTACAGTTCAGTGGCATTGAGCACAATCATATTGTTGTGCTACCATCACCACTATCCATCTCCAGAAGTATTTCCATCTTGCAAAACTGTATTCATTAAGCAATAACCACCATTCTCCCCTCCGCCCAGCCCCTGGCAACCACCATTTGACTACTCTAAGTATCACATATAAGTGGAATAATGCAGTATTTGCCTTTTTGTCACTGTCTTATTTCACTTAACATAATGTCCTCAAGATTCATCCATGTTATACCGTATATCAAAATCTCCTTCCTATTTAAGGCTGAATAATATGCCACTGTATGCGTATACCACATTTTGCTTATTCAGTTATCCACCAATAGTCACTTGGACTGCTTCCACATTTTACTACTGTGAATAATGCTGCTATAAACACAGGTGTACAGATACCACTTTGATACTGCTATCACTTCTTTTGGAAATGCTGGATCATATGGTAATTCTACTTTTAGTTTTTAAGGAACCACCATTTTACACTGGTGGTGCCCTTTTACATTCCCACCAACAGTGCACAAGGGTTCCAATTTCTCCACATCCTTGCCAACACTTATTATTACTATTATTATTATTATTTTTAAATAGTAGCCATCTTAATAAGGGTGAGGTGGTATCTCATTGTTGTTTTCATCTGTATTTCCCTAATTATTCATGATGTTGAGCATCATTTCATGTGCTTACTGGCTGTTTGTATATCTTCTTGGAGAAATGTCTATTCAAGTCCTTTGCTCTTTTTTGAATCGTGTTGTTATTGTTGAGTTTTAGGAGTTTTCTCTATATTCTGGATATTAATCCCTTATTAGATACATGATTTTCAAATATTTTCTCCCATTCTGTGGGTTGCCTTTTTGACTCTGTTAAAACTATCTTTTGATGCACAAAATTTTGAAATTGTAATACAATCCAATTTGTGTTTT